GGATCAGATTTAGAGGTAAAAAAAAAAAGGTAGATTTGGGGGTGATGAGGCAAATATTGGGGGGTGGGGACATTTCTGAGGTAAAAAATTCTGATTTGGGAGGTCTGGGGTAGATTTTGAGGTGGAAGAAGCAGATTTTGGGGGCGGGAGGAAATCCTGAAGGAAAAGCAGTTTTTGAGGCAAAAAAAATACAGATTTTGGGCTCCGGGGCTGATTTTGGGGAGCAAAAGGCAGATCTCAGGGGTGGGAGGAAATCCTGAGGGAAAAGGAGCAGATTTTGAGGGGGAAAATGCAGATTTGGGGGTGATAAGACAAATATTAGGGGTGGGGACATTCCTGAGGTAAAAAAATTCTGATTTTGGGCTCTGGGACAGATTTGGGGTTGAAGAGGCAGATTTTGGGAGGTGGGAGAAAATCCTGAGGGAAAGTCAGTTTTTGAGGCAAAAAAAAAGAGATTTTGGTGTGGAAGAGGCAGATTTTGAGGGGTGGGAGGAAATCCTGAGGGAAAACAAGCAGGTTTTGAGGCCAGAAAAAAAAAAAAAGCAGATTTTGGGGTCCGGATCAGATTTAGAGGTAAAAAAAAAAAGGTAGATTTGGGGGTGATGAGGCAAATATTGGGGGGTGGGGACATTTATGAGGTAAAAAATTCTGATTTGGGGGTCTGGGGTAGATTTTGAAGTGGAAGAGGTGAATTTTGGGGTGGAAAGGCAGATTTTGGGCGGTGGGAGGAAATCCTGAGGGGAAAATGTGTGGATCTGGGGGAACAAAAGGTCCCCTGGCAATGCCACCCCAGCCTGGTGACAGGACGGGGCACAAAGGGCCATTTCTGTCCCAAAGGGCCACTTCTGTCCCGGTGGGAACAAAGGGCTTTTGTGTCCCTGGGACACAAACAAATCCAGCTGGAACAGCCCCCAGGACACCCCTGGGCCTCATTCCCAGAGGGAAGCTGAGCTCTGGGATGATAAAGTGGGATAAAGGGTGAGGGCTCTGCTCCTGCTCCTCTGGATATTCCGGATGGAGCAGCTCCTGTCCCACAGCCCTGCCCCAGTTTGGGCTGGGGGGAGGAGTGGCCCAGCATTCCAGAATCCAGATGAATTCCCCACATTCCAGGCTCCAGGGAATGTCTTCCCAAAGGGAAAAAGCCATTAATGGATTAATGCAGGGACAGGGGTTGGATCCAACCCCACCACAGGGGAGCCAAGGTGTTCCCTTCAGACTCCTCTGGGAGAGGAGAATTCCCAAGAGGAGGGTTCTGGGTTAGGCCTGTTTTCCAGACCTGGCCTCCCTTCCTGAATCCAGCTGGGAATGGCAAGAGAGGGGAAAATTAACAGGATGGGCATTTTCCTGTCTGGAAAAGGCAGAAGTGGTTTTTGGTGGAAAAGGAAAGGGGGAAAATGGCGAAAAGGGAAAAAGGGAAAAACAAGGGGGGTGGAAGGAGAAGAAGGAAAAGGGGAAAGAAAAGGGGGGAGAAAGGAGGGGGGGAAGGCGGTTTGGAATTTAAACTTGCAATTTCTCCTGGAATTGGGATTTAAAATTGCAATTTATTCAGGAATTGGAATTTAAAATTGTAATTTGCCTTGGAACTGGAAACTGGAATTTCTCCTGGAATTGGAATTTAGAATTGCAATTTATCCTGAAATTGCAGTTTAAAATTGTAGTTTCTCCTGGAATTGGGATTTGAAATTGCAATTTATTCAGGAATTGGAATTTAAAATTGGAATTTCTCCTGGAATTGAATTTCCAGGCCTCTCCCCTTCCCAGGCAGAGCTGGTTTTCCACACAACCACGATTGTACAGGAAAATACTCTCATAATCTCAGTTTATTCCCTTATAAGACTGATCCTTGATTCCCAGACTCTTTTTGGAGGACAGGGATAGAGATTCTCACTGGAGAATGAGAAACTAAGGGAAGAAAATTGGGATAAGCAGGAATTGTTTGGTCAAAAATGGGGTTAAATCCATAAAATCTGATGGTACCTGCAGGATTCGAGAGGTTTGGAGGATTTTTATCCATAATAAAATCCTCTATCCATGTTCCTGCTTGGTGGGCTCTGTTTTATGACTTTTTAGGGATTTTCCCAAGCTTTTCTGGAAGGAAACCCGAGGTTATAGGAAGGAGTCAGAGCTCCTGGGACATTTGTGGATAAAAACCACCGGAAAAGGGAGTGGGGGGAATGCACCAAACAGGTCCAAAAAGCCCTAATTTTTTAAAGAGAACTGTGGGATTCCACCTGGAATTCCCCATGGATTCACCACGAGAGGGAGACTCTGCCCCAGCAGAGCCCCCTGGCCCCGCTCCCGTGCTGCTCCACCCCCAATCCCTGTTCCAAACCCCCTCTTCCCACCTTTTCCCCCCTCTCCCAGGGCCCCAAAGGGAATAACAAAATCATTTATTTCATTCCCTCCTCGGTTCTGTCCACAAAGAGTAAAAAACACCTCTGGATCTGGCGGGATGAAGGAGGGGAAATCCCAGGAACTGGGCGCACTGGGAGAGTTCCTTTGATCGGGAGTGGGAAATTGGAGCTTCTGGGGGGGGGTTCCTTGTTTTTCAGATATCCTTGATAACCTCTTCCAGCTCCTCCTTGGTGTACATGTGGAATTTCATCCCGGGCTCCACCGTGGCCAGCTGGAAAACAAGGAATAAGGGGTTAAGGGGCTGAGGAAAGCAGGGAGCAGCTGTTCCCCGAGCTGCCAGCCCTCATTCCCTAAAATAGCTGCTGGCTGCACAAATAGCTTTGGATTGACTCAGGCTCCTCCAGGAGCAGGGAATTGCAGTGGGAGCAGGAAGGGGGGGGGAGGAAAGGCATCAAAAAAACCCGGGAATAAAGGAATTCCTGCCTCTTCTCCTCCAAGGGGATAAATCCCAGCCTGTCTGGGAGCTGGGGGAGGGCCAAACACCACACCAGGTCAGGCCTAAGTGCATCCTGCAGGGAGATCTCCAAGGAAAAGCCCGAGGGATGAGGCTGGGGACAGCACAGGGCCAGGGCAGGCAGCCCAGGCATTCCAGAGGCAGGACAAGGGACAGTGGGATGGAGGAGGAATGTGAGCGGGATGAAGGGTCACACCTGGCTCAGGGATGAGCCCAACACAGGGAAAGTTGGGCCAGAGGGACAGCCAAGGCTCCAGGAGAGAGCTGGGATGGGCTGGAGGGAGCTGGGATGGGGCTGGAGAGAGCTGGGATGGGGCTGGA